AGGGGATAGCGCCAATAAGGGAAACATTTGAGACAGGAATTTAGAATGCCTCCTTTCAACTCTATCATGCTATGTCTACGAGTGTGTAAGCCTGGATGGACATAACTAATACTAAGAAGGGGCTTTGTAATAAGTTCATGCAGAAGTATAAATTAGGTGGACGTCGTAGTTAAGGGGATAACTGAATGTGAATCAGAGTAAATCAGGCTCCAGAAGTTCATCATCGGGGCTGAGAGCTCAATTGGCCTTTTGGATGCCATCCTCAGGAAACACAGCTCCAGGTAGGTGTAGGTGAGGAGGGAGGGAACGAGGATGGAATGTGGCAGCCTCTCGATCCCACACGGACCCTCTGTTTTCCTCCACACTCTTATGAAAATCTGTAAGTTCGCTGCAGCACATTCTTGGACACTGTGCCTAAGCTCATCTCTCCCCTGAAACTAAAGAAGCAGGCAGGATCAACCAAAAAGAGATAGGTCTTCAAAACTTTTTTAAAAGCTGAATTTAGAACCAGACCAAATTATATCAGAAAGTATTAAACCAAGATGATAAAACATTTTGAATTATAATTAATCACAGTCATAATAATTTGTATAAAAGCAAAGGACTTTGTACCGTTGCTAAATAAAATATTTTGTTAAAAAAAAGAAATTTAGCAAACCCAGCCTTTCTTATTTATTCACTCTCTTTTAAAAACATATTTTTTATTGATTTCAGAGAGGAAGGGAGAGGTTTAGAGAGAGATAGAAACATCAATGATGAGAGAGAATCATTGATCGGCTGCTTCCTGCACGCCCTACACTGGGGATTGAGCCCGCAACCCAGGCATGTGCCCCGACCAGGAATCGAATGGTGACCTCCTGGTTCATAGGTTGATACTCAACCACTGAGTCACACCAGCCGGACTGGTTCATAACTCTTAACTACTATGCCCAGTGACAGCTGAATAGTAGAAATGATGAAAATCTGGTAGGCAAGTAAAACCAGTACTTAGTTTGTCACAATTTTAAAAACCTAGCTGCATAAATATGCTATGCATAAACTTCAAAGTTTGCTCCGGAAAAATATCATTTGATTTCAAAGATGAGAAACGATAGCTCAGAGAAATCAGGCAGTCTAAGGGCCAAAGAACAAGAGAACACAACTCTTTCAACTCCCATCTGAAGGCCAAATCCACTTTCACTTTCTAACATCAATTATGCCAGATTTAAACACTGACTCTACCTGGCCCAGATGACAACCTTCAGCTTCTCCTGATATTTTTGCTATTGGATCTGTCAGATTTTAAATTCCATTCTTAAATCTTTTTTAAAGCACCATAATAATAAACTCACAGAAGCTTAACAAGTAGCTATCATAAGGCGAAACACAGTGGATTGGGTGTTTTCCACACAGCAGTGGATTTCATTAACTCCAGGGCAGAACATATTTCTAGTGGTGGCACACTCAGCTATCATGAGAAGACGCAGTATTAGATAAGCAACAACAACGAGGAAATCAACAAGTTGCCACCCAGAAATTATTTGCCAGAGCAGCTGCAGTCCAGAAATGCCAACAAGCCACTCTCTGAAGGAGTGGACCATACTCAGCTGTGGGCCAGTCACAGCACTTTCTCGCTTTACTTTCTCCAGAATCAGGAGCTAGCAGTACTGCAATGGTTTCTTCTTGGGAAGACACATTCAAAACTATCTTCCCAAAAAACTGAACCTACAATTACTATTTGCTACCAAGAGGGGGCAATGGTACCTAATCAGGTAGATATATGCCCATTTTTTCCTGTGTTTTTTAATTATTTAACAAAAATTGAAGCTAAAGGATAGTTAAAACAGCCGAAAAGTAATCAGTCTCACAGAACCAAATTTTTAGGTATAATTTAATACTATGTTATTAGTCCATAGTTAGCATGAATCTTAAGATTATTTCTGAATTTTCTGAACAGCTTGAAAGAGAGAAACCTTTAACTCCTTTATTTACTTGCCTTGAAGTTGACACTTCCAGGTTTTTATATAACTCTCTTACGACTTCTTACAATTAATTAAAATCCTTATGAATTATATCTATTTTTGTCTCTCCCTTAGCAACTACTTAAAGAATGACTTGACACTTGGAAAGACAGGACCCTCTCTCCAGTCCTTTTCTACTAAAGTTTCCCGTATTTCCCTCCCCTGCTGCCATCATGGTAAAAAGCCTGACCGTCCCTCCTAAAGACAGTAATTTTCACTCCTAGTACAAATATCTCAACAGAATCTGAAGTAGTGGAAATGTGTAAAATAATTACTATTCACAACTGACTGACATTACGTGTTTCGCAAACATTGGTTTTATTTAAGAGAACCATGCATGCAGCACCCAAATTATTGCAGATTCTGACTCAGTTGGGTGTGATTTAATATTTTTACTCTATTTAAAGAAGTGTCCTTCCAACAGTAAAGAAAAACCAAGCTAAGTTGGGTCACCTAACAGGGCTCTGAATTCCCATCTGAATGACCTGACTTACCGTGTGATGATGTAATGCATGTCACCCTTGATGTCTCTTTGCCAACATGGCTGTTATTTAATACACCTAATCTTGTGGAATCATAACGTGACCAACAAGGATGACCTTAAGACACTGCTGGGGCCCAAGACAGGCCACCCCAAAATATCCCACAATGACATATTGATTACTTTGAACTAAAGTTCCCTGACAAGGAGCTGGTACCAGAAGGGTGTCTTGACCCTCCCTTGTCTCACTTGTTGCAGAAAATAAATCTCCCAGGTGAAAGGTGAGTTAACTCAGAGCTGAAAAGTCTGCATGACAAATCTTGGAGCCTCTTTTCTAATGATTAACAATGGCTTTATGTATTGTTAGCATTACATAAGAGCATTTTGAACGTAAGCCTTTAGTGTTTCCCAAGTCACAGACAAATGGGATGAGTAGGTGACTGGTGGAATGAACGAAGACTTGGTGAGAAGGGAGATAAGGGGACCCAGTAGATTGAGATCCCTCCAATCGTGCTGTCCAGTAGCTGCCTGACTTCGCCATACTTGACATTAGGAGGACACAGGGCCATGCCTGTTTCCTAAATGGGGCTAGTGGCAACTTTGGTTGAACAAAATGGTTGTCACCTCTGCATGTGACAATGTGCTGTGACCACTCCCTCCCCACCCCCCGCCCCTCAGCAGCTCCTTTAATCTTAATCACGCTTCTCCCGGACAGCTGGGCCTCTGCACAGCCCACCCGAAGTGTTCACTGAAGACTATCAGAGCAGAGGGTGAGACCAAACGATGCAAGCAATCCGTTGATTCAAGCTAAAGAAGAACAACATCTTTCCCTCAAATGATCTATGAAACTATTCTTCCTTCTGTCTTGCTTCAGGGACAATTAATAGAAAAATGCTCCAGTGAACAAATTCATTCACTACTTCTACCCTGAGGCAAATACTGCCATTTACCCTCCCCCCTCTCTCTATATATCTTTGAGCCAACAACCCTCACATGGCAATATCCTCCTCAACCCTGGTGGCTCCTTGAGGCACATCACTAGCCATATAAAGGATGAAAGGCGAATCTAGACCAGTTTCAGGAAAATTCAGAGTAAAACATGGAAATCCAGGAAAAACAGAAAATGGGGCTAAATCTCCCCAATGTGGCGGTCCACATTCGTTGATTTACCAAATAGTCATTTGGGTGTCATAGACACCAGGAACCCCTCTAACCAAGACCCTATCGGGCAGCCTGTGATGCGTCCCAGGGATCTTATTTGCACAGTCTCCTGCGTAAACAGCTGGAGATTTAGGATCTCTGATAAATCCGCCCCCCCCCCCCCCCAGCTCCAGGTCACTCAGGCCCCTTCAGCGCCCGCACAGACACTAAGAGGGCTGTGGAAACCAATGTTGTGGAAACCAGTCAGGACGCTTAATCCTTGCACCCCCACAGCCTGATGTCCTCTAGCAAGGTGCTGTCTCATCTCACCCTCAACTCAGCCAATCCCCACCCTAGTCACTCAGCTGTCAATCAAGACAGCCCTGTGGTTCAGGGAAGCCACCCTTTCCCCTCCCCCTCCGCAGGCCTGCTGCTACCTTTTCTTCATGCTCAGCTTACCTATTCCTAAGACTGAAAACGCCCAAGATTCTGTATTTAAAACTATTCTACATAACAATCTTCAAAACTGAACATGAGCCCAGCCGGTGTGGCTCAGTGGTTGAGCGTCCACCTATGAACTAGGAGGTCAGGGTTCGATTCAGGTCTCCCCAGTTGGCGTGCGGGAGGCAGCCGATCCATGATTCTCTCTCTCTTCATCGATGTTTCTATATGCGATTCTGTCTTTAAAACTATTTTACATAACGATCTTCAAAACTGAACATGAGCCCAGCCGGCGGCTAGCTCAGTGGTTGAGCGTCCACCTATGAACTAGGAGGTCAGGGTTCGATTCAGGTCTCCCCAGTTGGCGTGCGGGAGGCAGCCGATCCATGATTCTCTCTCTCTTCATCGATGTTTCTATATCTCTCTCCCTGTCCCTTTCTCTCTGATATCAATAAAAAACTATTTTTAAAAAACTGAACGTGAATTTCTCAAGAAACAGAAGTGCCCTCCGCGGCTGCCCTATTCTCCACGGCATCATTCTCTGCCTCCACGGGGCCAGCCAGGGCTACACGCAGCCTTTCTCTATGGAGTGTGACACCTGGGAACTAGCAGCTTCAGAGTCACCTTTGGGGGCTGTTTTAAAATGCAAATTTCCCAGCGTCCCCACCGGTGACTAAGTCAGAATCCCGGGGTGAGGCGGGGAATCTACCTTTTAACCAGCTCCCAAGGCGATTGCTTTGCACGGTTCCACACACACTGTCGCGGTTTGAGAACCTCTGGTTCAATCCAGCTCCCTCTCTCAGGAGGGGAACTGGGCTTGGCCAAGGTCACGCGCGTTAAGGTGAGCAGCCCAGGCCTGGAGCCCACCTCCCTCGCTAGTGCGCACAGCGTGAGCCAGGAAGGGCCTGGAATATCGGTGCGCCCCTGCCCTCACTCACCCGCTTGTAGATGTCCTCCCGGCTGGCCTCATACTTCTGCTGCATGCGCTCCTCCAGGAAGTAGATGCGCAGCTTGAGGCTGAAGTTCTCCTTCTTCAGGTCATTGAGGTGCTGGGACAGAGTGCGATATCCATTAGACATGGTGGGCTGCCCATGGGGAGGAGCATGCCCAGGCACCCCTTCACCCCAGGAACGTGGTGCGGCTGCACCGAGGCATGAAGAGAGCGGCTGGGGCGCTGTGGAGGCTACGGCGGCGACATGGCCCTGGTGCCTGGCGCTCGCGGGGACTCGGGACGCGGGGCTCACTGCTCTGGGTGCTGGAGCGCAGCGCACTTTCCTTTTTTACCTCCGGCAGATATTTGCGGAATCCCTGACAGAGGAACATGCTGCGTGAACTCAGACACACACACACAAGTGGTGTAACCTGACTCCAAGCCAGGACTCCAAGCTGCCACCCTCCCAGAGCCTCCCAGGCCCAACTGTGGGCAGTTAACAGCTCCTGGGGAAAGAGAGGGGGGTGACCCCGAGGAGCTTCCAGGAAATGGGGAATGGGAGTAATTCAAGGTGATGGTAGGGCTACAAAAAAGAGAAGGAAATGAAGGGTGTTGGGGGGGAGGGGGGAGGAGTGGTATTTAAACTCCTGGTGGCTGATTTGCATACACACACACACACACAACCAATGGAGTGTGGCCAGAAGGAAGAAATGAACAAGTGGACACAAAATGGATATTGCACATAGCTAGTCAAATAGCCCCTTTGGGTCAAGTGCAAATCTCAAAGAGCTACTAGCCAGAGGGGTCTCTAATTTCCTTGGATGATCCTAAACCTCTAATCAGTTCCTTCACAGTTTTCTCCCCTGACTTTTCCATCCCCGAGTTGCTTAAATCAATAGTCTTTATTTCCATGACCCCTCCCCCTCCACATATTATACATCAGAGTCAGCCCAAATTAAAGAGCAACCTTCTCATTAACGGGAATGTTTGCAAACTCTGTTTACTGTTACACAAGCTCACAAAACGGCAGGGTCAATGGCTCCTCCCCACAAGGGATGAGGGAAAGAGAGGGTGGGAGGAGCGGGTGGGAGGGGAGGGAGGCGTCAGCCTGGAGCCCAGAGATTTCAGCCGGTCCCTGCTTCTAACTCGAGCACCTGCCAAGTGGAGCCAGGCACTCAACACCAGATCCTGCTCCTAGAGCAATTTAAGATCCTTGAATGACAGCTGCAACATTAGCAGGAAGTGTTATTTATACCACATCACACAGGACATTGAAGGTCACAGGGAGACACACATACCAAACACAGGTTCTTGGTTGCGGTAAATACTGGGTTGAAAAAAATTAATATTAACATCCAAAGTAAAGAAGACTAAAGAAAGTTATACTTAATTCAAGTACTCACTTCCCCCCCAACCTACCTGTTCTTCATTCTTCTAATAATAAGTCTTCATCTCCTGAGTCCCCACCAAATAGTATGTTGGGCATGAGGGATAGAAAGGTAAGGACAGTCCCAAACCTCAAAGAGTTATATGGATATTGGTTCGTGTTTTTCACTATAATCCTCCAAGCTTGTCACACCTTTTACATTTTATACTGCAATCCAGCACACATACATGCATGAAGTAAAAGCTTCACAAAGTAATGTTACCACCACTGCGTGCGATGCACACTGATGTTATCTGTTCTATTTCTCTTTCTGGGAGTGACCCCCTGAATTGATGCATTTACACACCGACGTTTCCACCTGAAGTTTGGAAAACGCTGAGTCTATGAGAACCCAGAAGACAAACTGGTTAATTCTTATTGGGTTGATGGCAGAAAATGTCAGAGTTGCACTTGCCCTTCGCTTTGAAAGATAGAAAAAGTTTGGGTGGATAAAGAGGCCTCAGGAGGGCAGAATTAGAACTGAGCATTCTCCCGAATCAATTTGGAGTATAAGTAATCAACATATTTTTTTTTACCATAGACTGTTGGCAACTTAAGATAAAATATTCATTTTTTAAAAAAATGTAGACATTTAAAATCCATGTAGTTATTTTTGTTATATCCATGCTCTTAGAATAAATGAATAAAGTTCAGGAAGAGAAAACGTCTAAATTAAAACTCAAGAAGATCCGTTTCTGGTCCCAGCTCTGTTACTAAATGGTTGTATGACCTCAGAAGTGCGCTTCTCCAGAGGCCTACCTGTCCTCATTTATAAAATGAAGTGGTTGGAAACTAGGTGGTTTTTAAGGCACCTTCTCGGTCTACGCTCCAAAAGGAATAACCTAGTTCTTATCACCTCCATTTGGCACATGGGGAACCAGGATACCAGATTTGATTAGTGTTTGATAATGTTTGCTATGTCTACTTGGATTCTTTTATCAAGTGAGATAATTTAATGGAAGCTTTGTGAAAAGTAACATTGCATAACAATGCAGGGTTTCTTACCCAACTTAGATATTTCTTTCTGCACATTAATGCCTATTTCCTCTTATGCCCTGTGGTCCCTTGTTCTTCCATCTGCCCCCTTTTCTGGTTTTTGCTGCTCCTTAAAGTGAGTGCTTAAATGATGCTTAGTCCTTAGCCTTCTGCTTTTTTTTCCTCTTCATACCTTCTCCCTTTGAGATTTTATCCACTTTAGGGCTAACACTTCTGCCTCCTAAACAACCCCAAATGAGTGCTTAAATGATGCTTAGTCCTTAGCCTTCTGCTTTTTTTTTCTCTCTTCATACTTTCTCCCTTTGAGATTTTATCCACTTTTAGGGCTAACACTTCTGCCTCCTAAACAACCCCAAATCTCCAACCAAGTTCTCTTACCTAAGACCTAGCCCTACACATCATACTCTTTGCTAGATAGCTCAAGTGAATGTCCCATCCGTACAATCAACCTCATAGCAAACACATCTGTAGCAGTCTCTTACCATGCCTGCCAGAATTCACTTTGGTCATCTGCTCTGTATTACAGCTAAAGCGATGTTTTCAAAACTCAGATCTTATCCTGTCATTCTCTTACTTAAAACCCTTATCAGGTGTCTCATCCCTCATAGAATGAATGGAAAACCCCACCATCACCTTTCCTCAAAACACCATGTCTCTGATTATATATATACACATATATCAGAGATGAAGGGAGAGGGAGAGAGATAGAAACATCAATGATGAGAGAGAATCCCACACCGGGGATCCAGTCCACAACCTGGGCATATGCTCTGACCGGGAACCAAACTATGACCTCCTGGTTCACCGGTCAATGCTCAACCACTAAGCCACGTCGGCCGGGCACTACCACTTTTTTCAGGCCCTAATTCAAATCCCATCCAAACCAAGTGTTCCCTGCTTCCCCAGCCTGGAAAGATTTCCTCATCTTTTGAGTTCCTAAAGCAAATATTTGCCTTTGGCAAGTGCTCACATGCTGCTTCGTGATATTGTTTTTCTGTTGTCTTGAAGGATTGTTTACACCCTTTAGAGCTACTTGACTTGTGTGTTTCTATTTCTCCAACTAGTCTGTAAGCTGCCCAGGCATTTACATGTCTTTCCACATTTACTTCACTCCCACTAAACCGAGACAGCCTCTCCAGTAACATTCACCTCACTGTACAGCCTGCTAATGAAACAGGAGTTTTAGGGGTAAAATAAGACAGGCTTAGGAAATTTCAGAAATTTTGGAAGTTAAGGGGACCATGGAGGAAGCACAGGTTGCAGGCAGCAGAAGGTATATTTCCATAGATTAGGGAAGCTGAAGAGCTGCAACAGGTATATTTCCACAAACTGAGGGAGCTGGGAACAGCAAAAGGTCTATATTTACAAAATAAAGAGAAGGAAGCCCTTCATCCAGAAGGAGAAGAAAGTCCAGAGGGAATAAGAAAACAATAAGGAAGTGGGGGTGGGGGGAGGACAACTTCACATGTTCCATGTGAGGTTTGACCTTTGAGCCCAGGAATTGCTATAGGGACCAGTCTAAGAGAATAGTGACCAATCAGAGGGGGGATATCAAGGCACCAGGATCTGCAGCCTTTATAAGCCACAGGGAACAGGAACTCAGTGGGACCCTTTCCCCCTTCCCACGTGGGAGTCTGTACTTGTTCTTCAATAAATCTCCACCTTTGCTATACCACTTTCTGTCCGTGGATTCATTCTTTGATTCCGGCAGACAAAGAATCCAGGTTCCAGTCCAAAAATTCCATTTCATTAACAGTCACTTCAACCAGACCAGGGTGTTTTGAGGATGTAGTTTGTGCCTTTGTATTCTCGTTGCACAGTATTTAGGAAGCAGTCCCTAAATATCTGTTGAATTGATGAATAGATGAGTGTTCAAAATGTAATTGAATTTTGCTAATTATGCTTGTTAAATATGGGCTAGTTTGCTTATATTGTTCTCACAACTTTCCAATAATATAGAATAACTGTAGAAGAATGATGTTTTGTTCACTTGAATTACATGCCCATCTTGAGCTTTCTCCGGAACCCCAGTCTATACCTCACTTCCTAGCAGAAATTTCCACCTGAATGCAGACATCTCGTACCTGAGATATCTAAAACTCCTGATCCTTCCCGGTGCATATGTTCCTTCCTCGCTGGACCCCAATATTGAATAAGAACTCAATACTTGCAGTTGTTTGGGCCAAAACCTTTGAGTTATTTTGTCTCTTCTTTCTCATACACCATCTCATCTGCCTGTAAATCTTATTATTCTTACTTTCAATGTATCTATACCCATCTATATTTACAGAATCCAACTATATCACCACCACTGGCACCTCTACCACTCTGGCCAAGATACTTATGATCTCTCTCCTAAATTATCTGAATAGTCCCCTTAACTGGTCTCCCTGCTCGTGCCCTTACTCCCTATAATCTATTCTTAGCACAACAAGTCAGAGTGACCCTTCTAGAATACGCCAGGTCACTCCTCTGCTGGAAACCCCTACTGGCTTCCCATCTAGTTTAGAGAGAAACACGGAATCGTTCCATTAGCCCATAAGGCCCAAAGCCCTACTTAATCTGGAGTCTCTCCTTGCTCTTTTACTTTTTTCCTCCTCCTCTCCCCCTACACATTCTGCACCAGGCACATTGTTTCTCTTTGCTATTTCTCAAAAGCAGTCAACACACTCCCTCCTCAGAGCCTTTGAGCTTGT